ACACCATGAAAAGGATAAGAACATAAAACTGACATTTGTTGTCAAGGAGATGATTAGAGAATAGCCATTTATTAACAATGAGTACTCCAAAGTTAAGCCTACAGCTCCAGCATTCTTCACAGATACCACATTCTAAACTTTCTTGTTTTGCAACATAGGTTGATCTCTATTCTCTATAATCTACAAGACATAATCTCCAGGTGTGGTGGTTCACGCCGGTATGCCAGCACTCAGGAGGTTGAGGCAGTAAGATCGCTGTGAGTTTGAGGTCAGTCACCTGAGCTACATAAGTGAATTTAAGGCCAGCTTAAACTACACATGGAGATATTGTCTCAATGAATGAATGAATGAATGAATGAATGAATGAATGAATGAATGAATGAATCTAAAGGAATGAACCCATGACATCAACATTTTGGGGATCTTCAAATTCTCAATTTTCATTTGATAGGACTAGATGTCTTAGTAAGCACTGTTTGCCAGGTTGTTTTCCAATGAATCTGCAAAATTTACAACTTTTATCAATAAAGGAGAAAATTAAAATTTTAAATAAAAGCCTATCTAGGATTCCTGCCAAGACCAAGCGGACATGTCTGGCAGGCCTGATAACAGCACACTTCTCGCTTTGTGTAAACCCCTATCTTTGCTGCCTTTGTAACTGATGAGCCTGCAATGTAGCTTCAAATACAACAGGGTACTTCTTTCTTCCTCTGAGTAACTCTTACCTATTTAACTAATGACCTTGCAATGTAATTTGAGCTGTACCCAATCCTCCAATCACAGTGCACCAAATCTGCTCTTGTACCTCCACACTGCTTTCTCTTTAAAAGCCCTGATATCTTGCTGGGCAGGTGGGCACTGACTGACTCTAGGAGATCCTGGTCAGACGCCCACTACTGTGATATACAGCCTCCTAAACTTTCTTGGTGCAATCTCTTCCCTTTTTTGGTCTGTTTTCTGCAATATCAACAGTGTACAATATCCATTGCTCTGTGTCAACACTCTGTATTAAGCTTTTTGGTGGAGTATTTTGGTGGATGCATGGGGTATTTATCACTGAGGTTTAAATTTATATTTCTAATATGATTGATGGTATAAATAACTATACATTTAGTACATATTGATTTTTCTACACCTTATCTGAAAATAGGGGAGCTCTGGCTATTCTGGCAGCAACTATATTTGCCATTCCCTCACAATGCAAAGATCCTGAATGTAAAGAGAAAAAAGTGACATTCTGTCTTTTGTCCTTTATCATCATATGATACAAATAGTAAATGGACAAATGGCTTTAATATGCTTAAGAAATTATCTGTACCAAGTATACACTAAAAATTATTTTAAGTTATATTTACATTTCTAAACATTTCCTAATTAAACTAGTTTAAAATACTAAGCTAAGTTTACAAGGCAATAACTTATAAAGGTCCCATTTTTCTACTATTATATTTGATCAACTGACAAAGACTATGTGTTTTCATATAGCTCAGATTCAAAAGCTTAATATTTCAGTGGTATTAAGTAAATTTTGCTGGACAGCTATTTTATTTTTATTTTTTTATTATTTTTTTCATAATTTTATTGATAAGCAGATAGCAATGAGACAGTTGGACAGCTATTTTAAAACA